TTGTAAAATGTAAATATAGGCAAAGAACAAAATTATTAGCGCAATTTGGTTCAGTGACCAGGTTCATATAACCACGGATTAACTTTGAAAATGCGAATCGAATAATCAATGCAATGCCAACCATGAGGTATGATTTTATTATATTATATTGGCTGTTAATAATTTGTGGTACATTAAACGTTCATATTAATATACTGGGTAACCAAATTCAGAAACAAGTTGGTTATCGATCATTGCATCTTAAAACGGCATCGTACGTATTACAGCATATGCAATAAAGCGTGCAAGCACAGCATTGAGATTTGAGTGTTACCTGTAACATGAGGACAAGCTCTTTCGTAAGTTTACACGCGGTAATAAATCTTTATTGATTCGGGGTTTTTTTGTGGAAAACACCACTACTATTATATTTGTCAATGTTTTCAATTCCTCACAGTAGCTAGCCTAGATTTTCACGAGGGAAAAAATATAACCCCAACAAGATTTTAATTCACATCATAGTAACCCAATCTATTGATCCAGACAAGATTTCTGAAGAAATACTTCCAAGTTTATCAGCAAGTTATTGGGAAGTCTGCTTTGAAGTTTAGGTTAACCTTGGCCAGGGTTAAGCCCTGGTTAAAGCTAACCTGGGACCCGTTGTTCGAAAGCCGTTGTCACAGGAAATTCCCTCCCCCCAACCCTCAGAATTTCCTAGGAAATTTGGCCTCCTCTTAGAAAATCCCCAGAAACATGATCGCAAAATAAAATAATGAATAATCTAAACACTGCACTGTACATTTATTATATCTTCAGCGTGACAACCCTGACTTATTTCCAGCGGATTCGATGCGAAAATTAAATCATAACCACTTGCTTTCATGTAGATTTTAGGTAACCATGAGTGATGTGCCCATGCGTGAGGAATTTCGGGCACAGAGCTAATCGCCATGCCCATGGTTGTCGAATGTTATGCCATCATCAAGACTGAAATTTCACATATATTTGCTAAAGATATGTTTATAAGAGAGATTCACCTTCGTGAATTATCTTTATATTTGTTCAATCCTAAAAGGGGGGCGGGGCAAATTTCCGAAAACTGCAATACGTAAACTAATAAAACAGCAGGGGCCGGTTGTATAAAAACGTAGTTAGCGCTAACTGCAGTTAAAAAGTAGTTAAAAAGCCTTAAAAAGTAGTTAACTTTAATCACGTAGTTAAGCCGGTTGTATAAAAGTGTAGTTAGCCTTAACTGCAGTTAAAAAGTAGTTAAAGTTAACTATGCTCTAGGGTATAGTTAACTGTCCAAAACGTAGTTAAAAATGGCGTTTGTATAGGAGTGAACAACATTTTTCAGTAAAACAATAATGAAAAGCAACGCTTACCTGAGATTTTCAATCGCTATCTTCCCTGTGAATGTTTCCTGACAATATAAACTCTTCAAATGCTATCGCTTTGGTGTTTTTACGAAAACAGAACATATTTTTGCACAGGACGATTTCTCGAAGACGAAGTATGGTCCATTACACCAAGAAACACTGATAAATTATTGCCAAACAGCTATACCTTGGTTTACCGTAGACATCTCAAGGAAAAACTGCATTCTTTTATGATTTTTGAGGCGGTTTTTCCCTGTTTTCTTGTTTATTTTTCACTGTTTTGAATAAAATTCCCGCCTATTTGCAAAATACGAGTCCACAATCATGTTGAAAATGTGTGTCAGCGGTCGTTACTCGCTGCTTACTTTATGTAATTTTGTGTTTAAACACCCCACGCAAGCCCCACGCACAGTTAACTACGTGATTAGTTAACTATCCGACTAACTACGTCACAGAATAGGAAGTTATACCAGAAGCGTAACTCGAGCAAATATTTGTCCGCGTTTTTACAAGCGATTCGTCATCAATCACGCCATCCTGGCTAGTACAACCGGCACTTTGTACCTACCAAATCCTGATAAAAACTTCCGGATGTACTAGCCAGGATGGCGTGGCCTGACGTGAGCGAGTTAAAAATTTTCGTGGACGTCAAACAATAAGGGAAACGACTAGAGTTACGCTTCTGGTATAACTTCCTATTCTGTGACTACGTTTTGTGCAACGCAGTTAAGTCATGTAGTTAACTAATTACAGTTAAGGATTTAACTACAGTGATTAACGCTAACTACAGTTAGCGTTAACTACGTTTTTATACAACCGGCCCCAGGTTAATAACCGAGGCCGCGTGCGAACCTTTGTCTTTGACCCTGTTTATTTTGAGCAGCTGGAATTTTAAATTACGAGTATTGTTATCGAGTATTGTTATTTTTCGATATATAACGAGTATTGTTATTTTTCGATAGTGTCGCCCATCACTACTTAGTTCTTGTATGCTTCCACAGAGTGTGTATCTCTTGTAATAAAGAATGATATAAATTATATAGGCTAATATAATAATGACAACTACAACGAACTCAACAAGTATATATGAATATATCTATTTTAACAAAATGGCGGATGATCTCACCAAAACGAGAGACTACGTATATGTAATTTGCACATTGATTCAAACCTTATTTGCCGTTTTCGTTTGGGTCTGGTGGGAGCGAAGCAATAGGAATAAAGACAAGAAGGAAGACAGACGAAAAGAAGAGGCAGAAAGACAAAAGGCCGATACAAAACAGATCATAGCGATACTCAGCGAAAATTATGACGAAGTGGAAGAAATATTCCAAGAACTCAAGAAATCTGTAGATGATCTTAAGGAAAGGAAAATTACAAACACAGGATCACGTACTTTTACTGAATTTGATGTTTTACTGTACATGTGTCACGACGACAATTGCAATAAATTTGATGAAACCCCTGATCAACTACTGTATGTGGGTATTTGTTCTGCAAGGAAAAAAGTAATGCTTGATGTTAACAAAATAATGACGTTTATCAAAAACTTTGCCATTCAGTTGTCTGTCATTGATAAAGGATGCCCAGATATTATTAGGTTAAAATTTTCCACCGAAATTATTGAAATGGGTAAAACCATCTATCCTTTTGTGACAAAAACCAGACAAGAGCTTATTCAAATTGTTTTAAAATACTTTGGTGATACTCCAGCTCAAGAAGATCGTTCCCCTGGATGTGTGCAATGGTGTTGTCAAACACGTGTCTCAAGATGCTGTCATTGCAGCTGTGTCATTGCACATGAACAGGCTGATGAACCTGAAACTGAGAGATTAGCTTCTACACCAGGGCCATCAAATGCAGTCGATATTGAAATGACGGGACAACCCAGTGCAAATGAAGGACTGATACCTTATCCTGGCCGTGAAGCAATTGAGAATGCAATCCCATACATCGAATCCTTCAAATATGAAAATGGTAAAATGATTTGCAATCTCACTTGCACAATTTCACATATTAAAAATCTTGAGGTTGCTGTTGAAATGGGGGAAATTGACAAACTGACGAATGTGAAAATATCGGAGGAAATAAACACACTTTGGAAACAATCTTATGGTTCGCATCTGGCAGATGATTTATTGCATTTGATAAGAATGATAATGTTTAAACTGTTGAAAGATTCCACGCTTTCTCTACAACAATTTGCTCAATCTGTTAAGAATATTGTTAATTCACCAGCTATTTTAAAGGAAAAAGTTATAATTTGTTGTTGTCAGCGTGCTTCAAACGACATAAAGACAAATGTGATGCATCTTAATGGAGCTCAAAAACACCTCCTGAAAGATAAAAGTACTCAAGTTATCCTAGAACGCCATGCAGAGGAACTGCGAAAGTTTGTGCAGTCAAAGGTACAGGTAAATAGTCCACAACATCCAGAAGCAGGGGAATAGGCATTTTCATCTCCTATCTAATATTTTACATCCATGTGAGAAAGCATAAGGTATTAACCACAAGTGCCAGAACACAGTTACCTCCTCCGTAGGACTGTTTAAAAGTTTGGCAGACTTCAAAATCTTAAATTTCAATATCTAACCTGCGAATGGGCATACTGTGCATTAATCTTGAACTGTCTGTGCCAGGGTAGGTAGTGCCAATAATATGAACAAGCTTTTGTTGGTAGTGATGCAGCTACCCGAAAATATAAGGATGAAACAAAAGCTTGTTCACACTGATTAAGAAATTTATCTCTCCAATAACTTTTATTTTACTCTGTCTTTACTTTATTATTTTATTATTTTACTCTGTCTAACACCTGATGATTCTACTCCCTCTGTCTAACACCAGACAATTTCACATTTCTAATATGCCAGACAATTTTACTCATGCTGTCTAGTCCAGGCAATGACCTTTTTAAAAAGTCTGCCTTGTGACATAGTTTGCGGATAAATACGATCATTTGGCCAATCACGCAAGCCAAATGGCTGTTCGGGGGTTTTCCTTTATCTGCAAACTATGTCATAATAAGGCAGGCTTTTTAAAAAGGTCTATTTTACTCTGATTAACACCAGACAATTTTACTCTGTCTAATGCCAGACAATTTTACTCTGTCTATTGTCAGACAATCTTACTCTGTCTAATGCCAGACTATTTTACTCTGTCTAATGCCAGACAATTTTACTCTGTCCAATGCCAGACAATTTTACTCTGTCTAATGCCAGACAATTTTACTCTGTCTAATGCCAGACAATTTTACTCTGTCTAATGCCAGACTATTTTACTCTGTCTAATGCCAGACAATTTTACTTTGTCTAATGCCAGATAATTTTACTCTGTCTAATGCCAGACAATTTTACTTTGTCTAATGCCAGATAATTTTACTCTGTCTAACACCAGACAATTTTACTCTGTCTATTGTCAGACAATTTTACTCTGTCTATTGTCAGACAATTTTACTCTATCTAATGCCAGACAATTTTACTCTGTCTAACACCAGACAATTTTACTCTGTCTATTGTCAGACAATTTTACTCTGTCTAATGTAAACATGCAATCTTACTTGTCAAAGGGAGGGCGCTGGTGCTCATTTAGCCCGTAAAATCGTCTGGCATTAGGCAGAGTAAAATAATAAAGTAGGGCGCATCTTGGCGCATTGTCACTTAAAGGGTCAACAGGGTGCACAGATATATAGATAGTCTGATTAACCCATTGAGGGGCAGCACTCTCCCCCAACGAGTAATTAAAATCGTCTGGCATTAAACAAAGTAAAATAATAAAGTAGGGCGCATATGGACGCATTGTCACTTAAAGGGTTATTAAATTCCAACCTACTCGTATTTCTAAGTTAAAATAAATGGAAAACACTGAAAGTATAAATGAACTTTTCATTCAACCATTTTATTGTTCAGATATATTATACCAACTATGTTTTCTAAATATAATTTCGAAAAGAACTACTCATGCTATACAAATATCACAATAAAATTCTCTACCAATCTACATAAAATATTTTTAAATACATTTCGTGTTTACAACTAAAACAAGCAAAGCAATATATTACTCGTTAAGATAAAAAAACGTGTTGCCAAATAATTCTACAAAATCCCATTTCACGCTATAAATAACCTATTTTAAAATTATTAATATTATCGTACTTAGTGATTCTATGTAAATAAGTTTAAAAATGATTTTAATTGACAAAATAATTCGATGCATAGTGCCATATAGCACAATTTAGACTATGATACTAGTATATTTATCATAAGTCGAAATATGCCATGTAAATACAATAAGACATGATTTCCGTTATTAAAAGTTCATCACAAACCAATTTAACTTTTTTTATACGAAACATCAGATTGATTAGAATGCCTGTGAAATCATTAGTCCCATATATGCCAATCACGCATGCGCCTTTGCATTTTTTGAACACCTTTAAAATTAGAATTTGCACCTTTATGCACCCATAATGAAATTTTGAATGCGCGAAAGTGCATACACTCAAAGTTAACTCATTGTTAAACACTAAGTCAGTTCTCTAAATCTTTTCTTACAAATCTTTCGAAACTTAGAATTTACATGTGCAATATCCTTAAGATCACATAACCCAGGCTTAACACTTGACGAGCAATTCTGCGTGCGTTTATAGGACTAACGATTCACCAAATATTATAAATACGCTTCAGCTAGCCTATATATAGATCGATAATTTGCATTAAGAACGATATGGTTATATGGCCAATAATTACTGGGCTTCAACAATTTACAAATAGCATTTCATGCATAAATATATATAAAAATTAAAATCGAAACTTAGGGATACTGTCAATCCCCTGTTTGCGTTTAAAACCAGAGCAAATCCGGTGGAATATATCACAGCTATTATATTTTTTAATCACGTTAATTTGTGCCCTTTTTGTCGAAGAATGCTTTCGACAAACCATAGTTAATCAATACGTAGCCTGGCAACTCGGAAAGGGGGTGAACACTGTTGAAATTTGTGCACTGTTGAAGAGGCGTAGCCAACGGGTGGAATGAGAGGGGGGGGGCCGTCTTTGCCCACTTTTCCTCAGGAACAATTTGCAATTCTTTCAAAATTGAGGAGAAACTGACGGTAACATCTTGATCTCTTGACTATGATATAAAATATACCAAATCTGTGGCATTCAGATTATCATAAAACGTGTCTAGTCTAAGATGCTTGAAAGAGCGTTTTGCAAACCCTAAAAATAGAGAAATTTTGGATGTACGACCGGATGGCCGGGCAATAACACCCCCAGTTCCCAGACCATGTCTCGACCAACTATGGAGAAACACAATTACAAGCCACAACTTTCCACGTGATTTTTGTGAGCTTCGTTGTCATTAAAATTTCTACCGCAATTATAACATACAAACACTTTACCGTTGCTCGATGCGTACCCGGGGGGGAAACGACCAAAATTCGGATCACCAGTGCTTCCACTTGTTGGAATTGACAAAGGAAGTAAGATGTTATCGTCGACGGTGCTGGTGGGGGTCTGAGGCGAGAACACTTTGTCGTCCGCGACGAGTGGTGAGGGACTGGGCCAGACGTCAAACGATGACTTGGACGTGGGCGTGGTCAATGGTGATGGCGGAAATCGGAAAATTTCGTCCTGCCCCCCTGGCCAACCTTTCTGGAAACCGGGGGGTTGTTGAGGTGACCATAGTTCGGTTCCAGGAGAGTGGAAGAGCGTGGGGCTGGGAAGGGGGGAGGGGAAACGTTTGCCTTGTTTGTTTTGCTTCGACCAATCTGACAACGGCATTCTGCAATTTATATAATACGAGGGTCAGGTTTAAAGACCATGTCAAGTCCGTAATGTAAACAAATTGTTTGTTTACATTTTGAACTGCTATATATGTGTAAAATAAGACATACTAACTAAATATCTAACACTTTTCTGGTTCGCTATTGTAAATGAATATAAACTAGAGTACGTTTCAATTGAAAAAAGTTCGAAAGATGCAAAATTTTGGCAATGTTTATATCTATGGGTCCCCCATTGTTATGAGCAGAACTGATGCGCAGAACGGACTTGACATGGTCTTTAACCATAGTCAGTAGAATAAGAATGTTAGGGAACTCGATGGAGACATAGACTTTATTATCTATGTTTTTGTCTGGTTTCTTATGTACTCAGGTGAATATAATGTTTTTGATGTTACTCTGAGTTTATAATGAGCCACACACACAGGCTGAAAAGTTAGCCTGACCACGGTGGGAATTGAACCCGCGACCTTTGGGATACTAGTGTCTGCATAGCCTGCGTGCAGGCCCGAACCTTGGGCCTGCACGCGGGCTAGTGTCTGCATTGAGCATTATAATTCTCATTTTACATGTAACGGAGCAAAGAGCCTGAGTACCAATTTAGTTATAACCTTCACCTACCCATAATCCTTGCTGGCGTCTTCCGCAAGTGACGAACGTGATCTGCGATTAAAGCCGCCTGACTTTACATACTGCTTGTCGTAAGATGCTACGTCACCGGGTTGATCTGTTGCCATGGCAGCCAGCGACGGTGCACTGCTTGATGACGTCATTCGGTGCATGTTGTTGTTATAGTAACCATTGTTATTACGATTTGGTTGCTGTTGGTTTCTGCGCCAGCCGTCATCACCAGCGGTCATTGGCCGGGGCATTCTGTTATCCTAAGAAATAGACACGTGTTTGTTTGTTTTTTAATTTGACAGTAATGATTCTTTTCATTATATGTACAGTACGTATAGTACTAGTCTTGTCTTGTCTTTGCAAGAGAGATACAACTACCTAAAAACTATAAGCTTTAAGTACCATCTGTCTTGTTATCTATCGTTGCTATTGATATTATAGTCTTGTCATTAGTGGCAAATAAACTACACCATACCATACAATACCATACCATTACCATACCATACCATACCATTACCATACCATTACCATACCATTACCATACATTACCATACCATTACCATACCATTACCATACCATTACCATACCATTACCATGCCATTACCATGCCATTACCATACCATTACCATACATTACCATACCATTACCATACCATTACCATACCATTACCATACCATTACCATACCATTACCATACCATTACCATACCATTACCATTATTACCATACCCATACCATTACCATTACCATTACCATACCATTACCATACCATTACCATACCATACCATACCATACCATACCATACCATCTCAAAGTCATTAATAGTTACGAGTAAATTAGCCAAGCACATTGCTTTATTTTACTCACATAATAATACTGGATACCTGGTGAAGTATATTGATCCAGTCCTAAGACTGAATCAAAATGAATTCACCTCGCTTTATGTAGTGATTTATTCGTATGAGATGTCATTTCAAATCCTCCAATTCGGACTGGAATAGATTTCAAGTCCTCGCATTTTGATCCAGTCCTCGACCTCGCCTCGGCAGACTTGAAATCTAGTCCAGTCCTCATAGTCGGACTTGAAATATTCCATCCCATATCATAGCACGTCATACCACCCCACACCCTATCATACCATACCATAACATACCTGCCACTGACGACCACCACTAAACGCTTTCTTTTCATTTCGACTTGAAAATTTCTGATCACCAGTGGGCGCGCCAGGGCTGACAGGATTCATTGATGATGCAATGCTATGGTTAATATATTGCGTTGCATTCGGGCCGTATAACTTGCACGCTTCGCTTGCGCTGATTGGTCGATTGCTACCAGAATCGTGACCAGGTAGAGGTCGAAATGGCGATGACTGTTTGAACTTGTTTTGAAGAAAGTATATATGCTCACGATATTTGTACACCTGAATGAAAAATGGCAAAGAAACGATAATAGGTGATGCCCGTAGAAATTTTTGGCCATCTCGTTCGATAGAACTAATAGCAGACGGTATTTAATAGATGGAATATTCGAAAGCAAATTTGTATATATTTTTAATTTGCAACGGCTAAAGCCGGTTTTCCACTAGCGAAATTTATCGTGCGAATCTTTTGGCTTATAACCTCTCGGCTGGAACTAATTAGACTTTTGATAAATTCTTTTCAATTTTAACAATAAAAATTCGCTTCGCGCGAAAAAAATCGCTAGTGGAAAACCGGCTTAACCAGGAGCAGTTGCGAAAAATGCAACTGTGGGCGCCAGGCCGTACGCAGGGGGGGGGGGGACTGCGACACTAAGACGGGATTTCCATCAGACTGATGATGACACGATGTGTCTTGATCCACGATCAGGAGTATCTAGTAAAATCCGGCCATTACCTGTTCCTGTAGGGAAGCAATTCTTGATTGGGAAGCTTCCAGCTCTCTCTTCATTTTATCTTTTTGCGCTTGAAGGCGTTCCCTTTCCTTGCGCTCCGCGAAGAATTCTTCTCGCAAACTATCCAACTTAGGAAAAAAAAGAAAAAACAGAATTCATTATTCCTTGTGAAATGCTTTTTGCACAAGAAAATACTGCCTTCCAGTTATGATTCCGGCCAGTAACCAGAATGGTGCATTGTCTTTTCATTGTTTTGAAAATCCCACAGTTATCCATGTCACCCAGTCGTGATCCAGTCATCAAAATGTTCTATATTATCTTTTCATTGTTTTGAAAATCCCACTGTTCTCCATGCCATCCAGTGATGATCCAATAATCATAATGATCCATAGTCTTTTCATTGTTTTGAAAATCCCACTGTTCTCCATGCCATGCAGTCGTGATCCAGTGATAAAATGTTTTATATTGTTTTTTCATTGTTTTGAAAATTCCATTGTTCTCCATGCCATCCAGTGATGATCCAATAATCATAATGTCCATAGTCTTTCATTGTTTTGAAAATCCCACTGTCCTCCATGCCATGCAGTCGTGATCCAATGCTTAAAATGTTCTATATTGTCTTTTCATTGTTTTGAAAATCTCACTGTCCTCCATGCCATCCAGTGTTTTGACCTGTTTGTGTTTGTGACGTTATGCAGAAAGCTAAGCACGGCTAGCTTTTTTACTATAATTCTAATATTCTCTCTCTTTACCTGTCGTTGTAATATCAAAAACTGCTCGATGTTTGGAAATCCATTTTCCTGAATAAGAGTTTTAAGTCTTGTCAGCTCAGCCAGTTTCTCGTCTTGTTGTCTTTTCAACTTTAAAAGCTCTTCATTTTCGCTCTACGAAAAAGTGTAGGTTTCATGCGAATACAAAACACTATTTTATGTTTGTCAACAGCCAGATACTGTACATTTAAAAATGTTGCTAACTGTGTAAACTACTGGGTGTCCCCCAAAAAACTGGACACTGTTGATTTCATGTAACGTAAAAGCTATAAAAGTTATCGCAATGAAATGAAGATCATTGCATTCCGAACGAACAAACTTAGATTGTGATATATAACACTTGAATTTACATGCAATATTGACTGCGCTATTGATGTTTAAACGTTGAACTACTGTTTTGAAAATGCCAAAAATTAGCATAAAACACCCTTATAATTACCGATGTAGTTATACTTGTTAAATAATAAATATTTTTATTTTGATTGTATCTCGCTCAATATTGCTGTAAATGTTACATATCAAAATCTAAGTTAGTCATTTCTGAACGCAATGATATTTATTTCATTGCGATAGCTTTTATAGCTTTCACGTTACATGAAATCCAACAGTGCGCAGTTTTTTTTGGGACACCCGATACAAAATAAAGCTGAAACAAAGTAATGTCGAGAGAAACGCCACAAAGATTTTAGATTTGAAAACTTTCCATCGCAAATACGAGAAAAAAATAGCCTTTTGAAGACAATTTACCGAGGCCTACCTGTAACAAACTCGTAGTTTTCGATAACTGCTCGAACCGTTCCTCTCTGGATTTGCGATCAGAAAGAACGTCCAATTTTTCCCGCCGTTCACGTTCGACCACTTCCCTAGCCGTGATTAGTGCCGAGTCCACTTCGCGCTTTCTCGTTTGTTCGCTGACTTGGTATTGGCCAATCATATCCTCGTATTGCTTCAAGCCTTGCTTCAATCCCGCTACTTGAGCCCGCAAATCGTCTTCTGTTTCGTGCCCGTTTTGCTTTTCCGGCGAAAGCTGAAGCAAAAGTTTTTGAAGGGATATTTCAAATACCATACACGTAAAAATTTCGCAACTTGTCAACAAGATGTGTTCACAACAGGCTTGTAGCAAGCTTGTCAACAAGTTGTAATAATGCTTTTATTTTATCAAATTGCTACAAGGTTGTCACTCACAACTTGTCAACAAGATGTGTTCGCGACAGACTTGTAGCAAGCTTGTCAACAAGTTGCAACAGTGCTATTATTTTATCAAGTTGCTGCAAGGTTGTCACGCACAACTTGTTGACAAATTGTTGAATTGCAGAATTTGCAGGACGATAACAAGTTGTTGAAACAACTTGTAACAAGTCTGTTGAGCTCAACAACCTTGTAGTAACTTGTCAACAAGCTTGACACAAGCAGTACAAACACATCCTGTTGACAAGTTGTTGAAACAGCATTGCTACAAGTCTGCTGTTAACACAAATTGATAACACAACAACTCAACAAGCCCGTATTAGTCTTGTTGGAACAACTTGTAGCAAGTCTGTTACTGTCATCAACCTTGTAACAAGGTGATAATGTTTGTTCAACTTGTTCCAGACTTGTCACAACAACTGCGAACAAGCAGTACGAACACGTCTTGATATCGGCTGGACAACAACCTCAGTGTTACAACTTGTTTGCAGATCCGTAACAACTTGCGCGTTTTTGCGTGTTTAGTTGAACTAGTAAAACCAGTCAAACAAGATAAACTTGTCAAACTAGACAAACCGGTATAACACAATAAAATAAACAAAATCTCACTGGCTCATGTTCTGCAGTAGAGTTTCCATTTCTCTCGGGCCCAGTCTCTCCGTTTGCTTCACTTCCCAGGTGACTTCGCGAACCTCCGTCTTGTTTGGGAATATACGGGACAGCTTTGACGTTTAGGGATAATTTCCCCATTGAAGGCAAAAGTTCTTTATTGTCCCCAATGTCTTGGTTATCCTTTTGCATCACATGCTCGTGTTCTTTGCGTTTTCCTGCCGAGGTCGACATTTTCTTTCATTTCAGCAAATCACAAGTTTGCTAACGTTTTAATTGGCGTTTTCTAGCATGTCTTTGACAAACCTAAAAGGGACTGGTCATTATTTATGGTGGGGGGGTGGTACCGAAGAGAAAAGGATTGGGTAAACAAAATTTTGAGTGAGTAAAAGGTTGGGTAAATGAAAAACAAAACAACTCAAGGGTTGGGTAAAAGAATTTATTGTCATTTCCAAAGCATGACCCACTCAAATATAGAAGACTAAAAAGCAATGTCAACAGTCATATGTCAATACAATATGTAAATCAATCAGAGTCACTATCTTGATCATTTTCCAATTTGTCAGGAGTCAAATGGTGTCTCCATAGAAAGTACATGTGCAAACAACATGAAACTTTAGACTGCAGAAAACGCACAAGCAGTTATCAAACTCATGTCACAGAAGTGGTAAAGGACATGTGTGACAACTGAATGGTATCCTTTTGTAAAGTTTTTGGCCACTGGATGGGTATTTATTTTTTTATTGATATTTGAGAGGTTGGGTAAACTTTTTTTTACTTTTTAATGGTTGGATATGATCGTCAATAATTGACCGGCCCCTAAATTGACTCAGTTAGCATTGCCTGTGCGATTTCAAAGCTCAGGCGCTCAGCGCTCAAATCGCGCGCGTTGTTAATGATTTCATATTAAATTAAAGCTCTTTTTCCTTGCTTAAACTTGAAGACTCGCAGATTTATAGCGGCCAAAGCCATTTAGAATGTAAAATCTTGATAAGCTAATTGTTTTCGACGTATTGCGTTCTTTAAAAACATAATTTAGATACCGATAATCCCCGCAAAGAATTCAGTATCGCTTTGAGAACTTTATTTACTTCCCTGATCTAATAAAGCAACTTGACTTAATTCACATACCACTACACAGAATTAAATAACTTATATCGAATACACGAAGAGCAGAATTTAAAATTTTATAGCATAAAACCGCGAAACGACATTTGATAAAAATGCGCTATTTTTAACGACGAAACAAATGTTTCGCAAGCGGAGAAATTCGAGCCCGTCAATTCACAATTAATTTTCCCGGGTCATTTCGGGAATCATGCAATATACTTTATACCATGCGACATTTATTAGAATCTTGAATAAAACATAAGTCGAATGCTAATTCTTAGATTTCAACGTGGTACTTTCGTAGAAAGCGAAGACGCGCGATACTTTTCACGGGTTTTAAACCCCAAATATGAAAACCTAATAAAACGTATCAAGTTGGGTCTAATTTCGGAAGAGTAATGACGGATTTATTAAGCAGATGGGTTTCGTATTGTTTGCCAAAGTCGTTTGATTGTCCCCATAGGCGAAAATTGTTTCCGAAACCGCGAAATTTGTATTTTCAATACCCCTGACAACACACACAGCCTAAATTTCGAAAGCCAAATAGACAAACTTTGTTCGTATTATGTATTCAAATTCGTAAATGCATTAAATTCTTCAGCAAACAAGCCGTTCAGGAACCTAGCAAATACGAGGGAACTTAAAACGATTTATTGATCACGAAATATGAAAATGTTCGCGTTAGAAAATAGGCAGATTTCGCAATGAAGCGAAGAGGTTTGAATAAGCATACATGACGCATTTCAGATTTGCAAAAGAGCAAAAAATACCATGGTTTATATTTTAAACGGACCCACCTGGTGTAGATTTGTCGTGACTCGATGATTTGCCTTGCCGGATTTCGTTGTTTTGTGGTATTTTGCGCAGGACAATGCGAATTTCGGATCTTTGTGGACTTTTCCCGGTCCCAATTCTGGCAATAGGAAGTATAAATGTCGACCCGTTTGTTTGAAAAAGGCTTTCTAGCCTTGCTAACGCGACGTCGTTCGTGAGTCGCTGTTCAACTCTCAGACGGATGATTATTGTTTGCAAGCAAAAGCATGGATCAGGTTACATGGGTATTGATTTTGCGTAGATCAATGTCTGAGGGTCAGTCAAGTGTATGAAATTAAAGTAGCGCGCGAATTCAATGTGCAGAAGGAAACATAAACTAAACTAACTTTATTCATACTGGATAGCTCTATCTGTTCCAAACTGTTCTCCCTAGAGGTCCAGTAAGAGTCATCTCTTTATTCTCTTATTCATCCAGTGTTAGGAGGAAAGCTAAACTATTCATAGCTCTGTCAGTTTTACGATCTAAAGTGAAGGATTTTTCCTAGAAGCCAGGACTATTTAAGGGTCATCTCTCATTGTTTAGCAATGTTAATAACTTACTACAAGATTGAATTGACGTGAAACCACCTAAACCGATCCAGATTAAAATATTTTTATTTTATATACTGGATCGGCTTTATCAGTTCTAAACTGTTTTCTCTGGAGGTCCAGTACAAGGCCAGGGTATTCTTATATTGATCCAGTATTACTACAGAAGAAAACCTAAATTAAATTAATTTTATTTATACTGGATAGCTCTGTCAGTTCTGAACTGTTCTTCCTAGACTAGAGAGGTCCAGCAAGAGTAATTCTTTATTGATCCAGTGTTACTACAGTCTACAGAAAGAAACCTAAACTAAACTAACTTTATTTATACTGGATAGTTCTATCAGTTCTAAACTGTTCTTCCTAGAAGTCCAGTAAGAGTCATCTCTTATTGATCCAGTGTTACTACAGGAGGAAAGCTAAACTAAACTAACTTTATTAATGCTGAATAGCTCTATCAGTTCTAAACTGTTCTCCTTAGAGGCCCAGTAAGGATCACCTCTTATTGATCCAGTGTTACTACAGGAGGAAACCTAAACTAAACTAACTTTATTTATACTGGATAGCTCTATCAGTTCTAAACTGTTCTTCCTAGAGGTGCAGTAAGGATCGTCTCTTATTGATCCAGTGTTACTACAGGAGGAAACCTAAACTAAACTAACTTTATTTATACTGAATAGCTCTATCAGTTCTAAACTGTTCTCCCTAGAGGTCCAGTAAGGATCACCTCTTATTGATCCAGTGTTACTACAGGAGGAAACCTAAACTAAACTAACTTTATTTATACTGGATAGCTCTATCAGTTCTAAACTGTTCTCCCTAGACCCCTAGAGGTTCCGTACGATCGAGTCATCTCTTTCAATCTCTTGTTGATCCAGTGTTACTACAGGATGGCGGAAAACTTGGATGGTTATGCCGTTGAAGTCTTCGTTGATGGTTATGTCGTTGACTGTCCAGGTTGAATGGTTATACCGAAAACATTCAACGGCATAACCATCTAAGTTGAATGGTTATCTCTTCTTGAAGTTCTTGATGCACTGTTACTGATTCCCGAGTGTTAATACTGCAGGAGGAAACCTATAAACTATTAATAAAACTAACTTTATTTATACTGGATAGCTCTATCCGAGTTCTAAACTGTTCTTCATAGAGGTCCAGTAAGGATCATCTCTTATTGATCCAGTGTTACTACAGAAGGAAACTTAAACTAACTTTATTTATACTGGATAGCTCTGTCAGTTCCAAATTTAAAATCCGAAACTTTTGTTTCTTTACATAAAGTATTATGTACCGCAGGTGATGACGACTGACCATATTGGACAATAGCATAAATGTATTACATTGTTTACACCGTGGGCTCAGCTCGCAATACATTCATTATTCCTGCTGTATTTGTTTGGTTAGAATCGATCATTTTCGACAAACATACAGCTCGTTTTTGCAGAAAATAATGTCAAATTTCTCTGTATTTTTCCTGCTCCTCATTCTTTTACATGCACTTGCTGTCGGGGACGGGACGCTTTCGAAATCGAGTAAGAAAAAAGGAAAGAAAACCAGCTCGAAAGAGGCAAGTGAATGATGGAATAATTATAGCCTGTACACAGTAATATTTGTTGTTCGCGTGGTTGGCTAGCATACTTTTGACAGCTGGTGGTCCTCGTAGACTATTTTAACTAATATAAATTTATGTTTCTTAATTTAGCTTTCTTCAAAGACAGTTTACGAGCGGGGTTTGGTCGACGAGGAATTAAAACCGAGGGATGTTTTAAAAAATTACGAGTCGTACTGTAAAACCACTGTTGGACAAAGGGGTTTTGAAAACACATTGGTCTATGTGACGCCTGTAAGTTCATTTAGAGTTTGGCGTGCTCTTTTGTTCGTTCATAATGTCATTTCTACATGATTAACCTGTGTGGCAGATTATATTACGATAGAGCAGTTAGGATTCTAATATTTAGTTAAAATAGATAACATACTGCACTATATTATGTATATTCCCATGGGAGTTTATAATATTAAATGATGCTATTCTGCAAACTAAAGCCTTGATCAAATGTGGATGATTATTGACAAGCTGGAGTTTGCATGAGGGTTTTCTCAATTCTTCTGCTGCTCAAACGAGAACAAGAGTACCGTACAAGACCCATTTCCACTCAAGAGAAATTTCCATGGGCAGAAAATTTCCCAAAACTATCATTGTTAAAATTTGAAAATTTTCACTTCAAATTTTTTTTTCAGACGGAAAATTTGTGTTGGCCAATCACCTTGTACAAAATTTTCTTTTTGCGGAAAATTTTCCTGAGTGGAAAAAATTTGAACCAGCTCAAAATTGGCGAGAAAGACATAGTATGCAGATGGGGCCTATGTGCCAAGGCAACCAGCCCAGCACCTGCTTGATAAAACAGCTGGATGAGGTACATATGTCAAATTGAGCATTAGCCTTTGACAATTCCAAGGTGGCACAGGGTGTGTTCTATGAAGAGTCATCAAAAGCATTATTTTATCGAATGATATATAATAATCGTTTTATAGTGGAACAGCAGAGGTTATGAAATTGCCAAGATATTTGCTGGGAAATTTTCATACGTGTCTCCTGTGTGGTTGCAAGTTAAACGAAGGCATGTATACGACTCTTATTGTGTTTTTCTCCTTGTATAAGCAGTGCATGCAAGGCACACCTCAGCACCCAACTTCCGGATCACGCATGGTTCACTAACTATTAACTTTGGTTAAAGGTGCTCTACAGTCTGTGTGTAAACAAAGCCTTTGTTTGTATCATAAAAAGTGGGCTCCTTTTATGCACATGCGCAGATCGGACTGTAGATCACCTTTAATTTATAACCTCATTAAAACCATTTTGGGCATTAGTTTGTGTTGGAGATGGATCATCCATCAAGCACTATCTACTGTATCTCACAAATATTAATATGTACCAGACTCTATCCAGCCAAACTACAGTAGCTACGATTGCATGATCAACACATTCATATCATGATCATCATACATGTTCAACACATGGGCCAAACAGATCATGGTTTGGAGACATATTTATTCCTTAACCCTTGAAATAATAAAGACTAGTGCACATTTGGGTGCATTGTAGCTTAGTTTTTATTTAGTTATTACGAAACTTGCCAAACTGTGGAATCGCATCAAAAATTTGTATCGCCTGCACTCCCACAAATGTCTACGACCACACCTGTACATATTTAAGCAGCCAATCCGGTTCTTGTTAAGAATTACAATTAAATGTCGATTGGCTGTTTGAAATTAGAATTGTAAACATGCAAAAATACGTAGGTGCGGTCGTAGTGTGTGGCGGCAATACAAATTTTTTATGCGAATCCACAGTTCAGTGAGTTTTGTAATAAAACACTTGCTTGACCCTTTACTTGAATATTCATTATAGGCGAGGTGGAAATTTTCTTATTGAGGGAGCACATGATATCGATAAAGGTGATAAAATATTTTTCAAAATCTTGATGATCTACTAGCTCTCATATTAACTAGCATTTAATTGTTACTAAAACTTTCATAATAATTGCAGATTGGGTTAGAGAAGTTCGATCTTCTGGAAATAATACAAGAATAGGTAAAAAACAACATATTACTGAATTGAAAAATGAATTACTGTGGTAACGAAATTGATTACGCTGTCTAGCTTCAAAACTGTTCTTCCTAAAGGTCTTAGCTCCCATAAGATCCATATGGATAAGAGTGCATCACTAATGGGTTGATGTACTAAGCATAAATTAAATTAAAACCTGTCCTTCACTCCTCTTACTAGTTCCTAGGCTGCTGTTTGAAAAATGGAGTCCGACTGATTTTCACGCCATCTTCAGTAATGAAAATGCTATGAATGATCTGGTCAATACTGTCCTTAATTTTATGAAGGTACTTCGGAATGGTGTATTCTGTGACCACAGTACATTTCTGTCATACATGTGTAACCCGATTATTTAACAGCACTACTTCTTTCTCGTAAGGCTTATCATTTTGACGGTGTTGTTCTGGAAGTATGGATGCAGTTTCGTGGAGATGCCAAAAGGTAAGATGATTTCTAATTGTTTATTTATGTTTACTGAGTCATAACTTCCCACTAAATGCAAGTTATACTAAGTAACAGGGCAGGGAAAAAGAATTTTCTTCCTGAGAGCACAACGTGGAGAAAAAATTTCCTGCAGACCAACAGAGTATTTTTGTGCTAAATATGCATGTGCATAAACATATAGTGTCCTAGCTGACCATGGTTTAAATTCAAGGAATAATGTCTGTCAACCATATGTTGTTGCGCTCATTGTGGAACCTGGGTGTTAAGGTTTCGTTCAAATTTTCAATAGCAAATCTTCATTCAAACGATAGAAATGAGAGAGTCTTCGTGCAACGATATAATTGAGAGCCTCAGAGTCTTCATGCAACGATAGAAAATTTTGAGAGTGTCTAAAATACAACTACCTGAAGAGTGAAGAATATAAGCAGAACTTTGTCAATTTGAGTGAAGGCCCTTTGTCGGGAAGTGAGTAGTCTAATAATGGATGTCCATTGTTGGCTACTAACTTTGTGATGAAGGTCCTTTGCTCGAAATGTCAAAGCTTTGCTTAACCCATTAAATGCCAGCGCTCTCCCCTTGACAAGTAAAATTGTCTGGTGTTAGACAGAGTAAAATAATAAAGTAGGACGCATAAGCCAGGGTACAATGCGAGTCAATGGGTTAACTAGACACATGGGCAGATAGGCCAGTTAAAATATTTTTCAGGTAGTTCTAACTCTGTCAATCAACAGCTAGGTCAATGTCCAGTATTAATCTGATAACTGTAAGTTGGAATATTAGTGAAATCTTACTCTATTATTGATAATGATTTTCGTTGTGTTCTAGTGAGTTATATCTTCTTGTGAGTAAGTTGGCCAATGCTCTTCATTCTGGTGATCTTAAAATTATCCTGGTTGTACCGCCTCTGGCTATGAATGACGCGGCGTAAGTATGATGCCGAGAACCACACATACGGTTAATGTGTTGCTGTTTCAATTGACTAACTAGTATACTGACTAACTGTCTAGTAACTACTATGTCTAACTACTGTAATTCATTGATTAATAACAGGCTTTTTTCTGGACTTTTTTTGTGGCTGTTAAATGAAACGAAAAATTAAATCTTGAATTGAGTTTTGCAAAAAAAATTAAAATTCGTAGTCAGATCATCTTCTTCTTCTTTGGTTTTTCCAGAAAAAGTCGTGGTGTGTTTTCAAAGGAAGACTTTCAACTTCTCTATCCTGTCGTAGATGGATTTAGTCTAATGACGTATGATTACTCATCACACGGAGGGTATGTGTTCGTTTAGAACTGATAGAGCTATCCAGTATAAATAAAGTTAGTTTAGTTTAGGTTTCCTCCTGTAGTAACACTGGATCAATAAGAGGTGATCCTTACTGGACCTCTAGGAAGAACAGTTTAGAACTGATAGAACTATCCAGTATAAATAAAGTTAGTTCAGTTTAGGTTTCCTCCTGTAGTAACATTGGATCAATAAGAGATGAACCTTACTGGACCTCTAGGGAGAACAGTTTAGAACTGCTATAGAGCTATATTCAGTACCGGTATAAAAAAAACTTAGTCTTAGTTTTGTTAAGGTAACACTGGAACAATAAAGGTATAGAACTGATAGAGATATATAAAGTCTTCAATGTGTAATTATGGAAATACTCATGTAAACCATGTCAATGATCGAATACTTGTTCCACAGGCAAGCAGGTCCAAATGCTCCTCTGCAATGGGTGAGAGACAGTGTCAAAGCTTTATCTCCCGACTCGAATGAGCAGAGAAAGAAAGTTTTCGTTGGGCTTAATTTTTATGGCATGGACTATTCGCCAAGCGGAGGATCAGGTATAATATATCACTGCTTGAAAATTGAACTGCCATTTCCTTTAGCTAAGTTCGTCTAGACAGATGATTGAAAATCATTGTAGTAATTTTCATTTTTATGTATTTCTCTTTTACAGCTGTGGTCGGTAGTAGGTACGTTTTGAAGCTTTTGTTTACTAAATTCATTTATGTATCATTTCCCTTGCTCAGCGTATTACATTAGATACACTTCTTTGAAGTCATTTTATTTTATTAAACGCTATACCTCTAGGTACATAGAATTGTTGACGAAGCACAAATCTGACGGGAAATTTACTTGGGAAAAAGAAATAGGGGAACATTCATTTTATTACAAGTAAGTGAAGAATAAAAATTATAAAGAACCACGGATTGATTGTGTTGGTATATCACGTTGCCTCAGTCGCATGTGAGAAGGGTGCTTCCAGTTTAAGTCTACCAAATCCGACAGATTTCTTTCTTCAATTAGTATTCGGATTTTCGATTTCCTCCAGAGCTACAGTACCACTGGACCAACAAGATATGTCCTTTACTGGTCCTCTGGGGAGAACAGTTTAGAACTGATAGATTTATCCAGTATAAATAAAGGTAGTTTAGTTTAGTTTTCCTCCAGTGGTAACACTGGATCAATAAGAGATGACTCTTATAGCGAAACAGTTTAGAACTGATTAAGCTAATTTATCTTTCAGAGCGGGTGGTATAACTCGTGTTGTATTTTATCCCACATTAAAGGTGAGTATTTTTTTCATAATCATCAATCTCAAACGGTCTTACCCCAATTTCGAGCCCACATTAATAATTTCTACAAATTTCACCTGTAGTCGATCAGTGAAAGACTAAACGTGGCGAAAGAGCTTGGTGTCGGGATTGCAGTCTGGGAGATTGGACAAGGACTGGATTATTTCTATGATTTATTATAATTTATTACGCAGAATTTCTAGCATGTTTTATTTAGTTCATTTTAGCATTTAGGACAGTTTCAAATTTTAGAACATTTTAATCATACATTCGCATTCCAACAAAAACAAAAAAAGGTTTGAGGGAATTGACTCAGTGTTAAACAATAAGTCCTTTCCCTCAAATATTTCTTAAAAAGTGGTTACCCTATATGGCTAGAAGCTTTTGTCCATTCGGGTGTTTCCAATTTCGAGTGTAAGGGCTGTTTTATACGTCGAATATTGGTCGCGTCGAATGCTGTTTTCAACTTACGACCACCTTTGAATGGAATGGCTTTTAAGTGTGTTTCTCACGGGCTATGGTCGGAGGAGACGAACAGCCTTCTTCAATACATGCATGAAAAAGAATTTTGGGTTTTGACCATTAAATTTGGAAATAAGCTTAAACACGGAAACGAGATCCTTGGCTAATTTCGAGGGCTATGGCTTATTTCCACATTTATTGGTCAAAATCCAAAATTCTTTTTTATGCATGTGTTGACGAAGGATGTTCTGCTTCTCTGATCATAGCCCGTAAGAAACAAACTTGAAATATATTCCATTTAAGGTGGTCCTAAGTTGAAAACAGTGTAGTTGTGACGTAATTACCGGAAAGGTCTATTAAGACAATAAATAATGAGATGATACACCTCATTAAGCTTCATTATCTATTGTTTGAATTGCATTTAACGCTACCGAAATTCGACGTATAAAACGGGCCTTAATTTTATACATTTTTACCGTGCCAGGAACAGTTGCCAAACATACAATTATAGGCCCTCTGGTATAGGACGGCCCATAGAACTGCACCTGGTCTAAAAATGTATAGAATTTAAGCTAGAAATTTTCTTTCCCAAAAGCCCACCAGTAGCGACAATTGTAATGTCTATTTGCGCCAAGGGCTGTTTTATACGTCGAATTTTGGTCGCGTCGAATGCAATTAAGACAATAGAAAATGAGATGATAAACCTCATTAAGCATTTAAGCTTCATAATGTATTGTTTGAATCATAGGCGTACGGGACGGGGGGCAGGGGAGGGGGGGGCAGCTGCCCCCACCAAAAGATTACAAAGTCGAAAAGTCGGGCAAATGTTCAACAAAAGTCGGGCAAAAGTCGGGGAAAAAGTAGTCAAAGCAATAAAATCTCTCGTAATAATAACCCCAGTTTGTTGGGCAAACCAAGCCAGTTGAGCAATATTCGCTTCACAGTCGGGCAATATTGGGTTATTAAAAAAATAAATGGGATAAATTGTGCCAAATTTGCGGGAAATTATGTAAATTTTGTGGTGTTTGGGAAAATTTGTTTGATGTTTTGAAAAATTTTGGTATGTCCGAAAAATTTTTGGACCCCTAAAATGGTACACTGACCGAAATTTTTTTGGCGACGGGGGGGGGGGTCGCCAAAATTTATTGTTCCGGGAAAAAAAATTTTCGGGCACTGGTCGGGCACAATTCGAAAAAGTCGGGCAAATTTCTTTCTGCCCCCCCCCCCTAATTTTTTCCTTCCCGTACGCCTATGGTTTGAATTGCAATATTGCATTCGACGCGACCGAAGTTCGACGTATAAAACAGGCCTTAATTTTATACATTTTTACCGTACCAGGAACAATTGCCAAAAATACAATTATAGGCCTTCTCAGTATAGGAATCGAATCCATAGTAGTATTTTTGGTAACTGCGCCTGGTCTAAAAATGTATAGAATCTAAACTGGAAATTTTCTTTCCCAAAAGCCCACCAGTAGCGACAATGGTAAAGTCTATTTGCGCCATGTTTTATTTCTCGAATCATTCGCGAATACAACATCTATTTGAAATTTTTCACTTTATTTTGGTAACGTTGTAGTTGGTCTTAATAATTGGGTAATTTGTTAATATTCTGGGTAATTATTTCGGTGGAGGTAAATTAACTATTAAATTAAGAAATGAATGTTATTTAAAACTGATAAAATTAGACGTTCTTTAATTAATATATTTAATTAATACTCATTTCTGTGTCATTTTCTATTGTTTTCCGAACTGAAAAGTGAACTTTAATAATGGATTAATGACAGCATACTAGATAGTGGATAGCAATTTGCATCCTTGTACCATCCTTGTAAAACGCTATAAAACGCTGTGGTTTATAGCGCCCTACTTGTACATTAACGCCCGTATTCTAAAAGCTCAATCACACTCAATAAGTGGAGGTTCAATCTGAGCTAGCTTCTCTTGAGTGTTATTAATGCTGTTTTTGAATAGCTGGAGGGCCAGTGTCATACCTTACTCGGTGACTACTCACCCTCCAGCTATTCAAAAACAACATTGACACTCAAGAGAAGCTCAGATTGAACCTCCACTCATTGAGTGTGAGTGAGCTTTTAGAATACGGGTGTAAGTTTGTGCCATATGTTAATCTTTTAAACCCGCATTTTCCACCCGAAAATGCCTCCCTGATTTCTCGCCCGCGCATGAAAAGTACGGAAGTAATTTGAGAAATGTAAGGAATTCGCAACAAAAGGAAGTTCAGTCCAAATTGAAAAGATCAAAATTATGGCAAATGGCGATCAAATGATTCCAGATTTTCCATCGAAATGGATCGCTACAGATCAAATCGATGGAGTTCTGGAGTATATAAAAGCAGTTGAGTAATCTTATGTTAAAATATTATCTATGTTTTGCTTTTATGTGTTATGATTTATGCAATGTTGTTTTGGAAACAAAGATTGATTTTGTAGTTCGTGTTTATACAATGTGCTCAATGTTCATGTCTACACGAGTGCAGTTTTCAATGAGGCACTAAACAATGCGTCAACCAATAAATACTGTATCAGAAATTTCAAGATTTATGGAACTTTTTACAGCAGCTGTCGTAATGGAGCCAATCCCCCCTCCCCCCGAAAAGTTTTCAGCTGGACAGCACAGAATAAAGACACACAGGAGGTCGACTCGGCCAAGAAAGCATAACCACTGCCACGCCATGATTTGTCATCAAAATGCTGACGCCATGGACCTAGCCAGTGTGCATACGAGAAGCATTCACCCCCTGGATGTGAGGATGTCCACCATTTTGAATATTATCAGGGGGGTGAATGCCTCTCATAAGTACATTGGCTAGGACTTCTTCTTCTTCTAGTAATTCTTATCAAAATGCTGACGCCAAAATCATAGGGAAAACTAACCCTATTAGCCCTTGCGGGCTAATCGTACCGAGCATGGATGGTCCAGACTCCCAGTTAACCAGAGGCCGGTTGCATTTCAAATTTTGCCGTAAACACAGAGTAGAGACATACAGAGACGTAACTAGTGTACCCACTTTTTTTGTGCGCATGCTCGGCAAGATACTAGTTGCATGCATCTGATTGGATGACGACTCACTTTAAACTTGCCGAGCATGCGCAGTTGATCATTTTTCGCCCGGTCGCCTGGGTACATGATAACGTAATCTTCTATATATATATATATATATATAACTTGTATTTGAAATACAGTAACACAAAAAATAGAGTCAGACACAAATCATGATAATAAACTTTCCTCAGGGTCATTATTATAATATTTATAATTATATTTTAACCCATTGAGTGGCAGCTCTCTCTTAGACAACTAAAATTGTCAAGTAAAATTGTCTGGTGTTAGACAGAGTAAAATATTAATTAAAGTAGGGTGCATAGATCAGGGCACATTGCCACTTAAAGGGTTAACTCCGCTTCCCGATAATTCAATTCCATAGAAACAGGCACTAAATGTTTAAATCTATCCCAGAATCTAACCTCATACTAACTTGAAATTATTTTCAGATTGATTGGAGCCAGCGATGGCTCATCGCTTTAATGGTCGTCCATGTCCTGCTATTTCTGGTCATTATTTTAAATCGAAACAGAACCAATCTGTTGGTGGCTGTGTTTGCTTTACTTTGTAAGCAACTATGTTCTTTGATGTTTATTATTTAGTACCATTTTGCATGCTCATTCTTGAAATTCATAATTAATTATGAACATATTTTGTTTTGACAGTGATATCGGTGTATTTCTCGGAGAAACTGAATGCTTTAGCTGCAGAAAATTGGAAGTACGAAACAAAGGAATAATATAAGCCATGACTAGTGATTAACTGATAATCAGTAAAAATCGAAATTAATTTACATCACTTACTGTATATTTTTTACTGTTGTGATGTTTTGTGTTCTAGTAAAATAATTTTAATTTTCATTGTAGGTTTTTTGCAAGTGAGCAGTACTTTGACTCGCCTGGTTTATTTATTTCTGTTGTTTTTTCCACACCGATGCTGTTCAACTGTTTGATCATCATTGTAAGTATGAAATAGTGCCATCACTTAACCCTTGACGAGTAGAATGGCAAAGAAGAGCATTATAGTGATTTTAGTGAATTAGTGCCCATGGGATTAAACAGCAATGAGTCTGATTTTTTTGTGGGAAGAAAGCATTAGATGGTGTTAACCCTTTAAGTGGCAGAGTGCCTAGTTGATGCACCCTACTTTACTCTGTCTAATGCTGGACAATTTTATTTGTCAAAGGGCAAGTTGAGGGGCATACAGGGTTCGTAGCGGTCTTTGAAATCCTTGAAAATCCTTAAATTTGAATTCAGGTCTTTAAGGTCTTTGAAAAGTCTTTGAATTGTGTGAAAAAGCGAAGAAAGTCTTTAAAAGTCTTTAAATTCTTTAGTGAGTATTTGATTATACGATTTCCTAGCTAATAAAATAGATTGATTGAAGCAAGATTTTCGCAAATATCGATGAAAAGGTGCAATTTAGGATGTGATGTGATGGGACTAATTACTGGGTAAAAATGGTGCTTACACTCGCAATTTTTCGACAGCTGATTGCTCTCAAAGGTCTTTGAAAAGTCTTTGAAAATAGGCAGAAAAAATCTTTGAAAGTCTTTGAATATTGTTGGTCTTGGAGACTACGAACCCTGGCATAGTCATGGGGGTCCAGATCCCTCCCACACTTTTCATCAATACCAATTTTGTAATTCTTCCAAAGCTGAGAAGTAATTGTAATGTGCTTTCATCTATGACATAAAATATACTAAATATGTGGCTTGCTGTATGCCTTTAATGAAATTTCCCAGGGACCATGCCCCCAGATGGGCGGTCCCCTTAGTTTGTTCTGTGTATTTCAGCAATTAGACCTTGTACTTGTTTGGGGCTGGCTATGTTGCTGGAAGAGTTCTGCCACTCCATGGGTTAATATTTTAACTTACCTCGCTATATACTTCAGGTGATCTGGTTGTGGGATTCATCCAAGATGATGTCCGTCGTAACAAAACATCGTCGCAAGCGTTACCAACGTGCGCAACAAGCTGCGCAGAGGGACAGAAAATCTGAGAGTGATTCAGTTAAGGAAGAGAAAAAAGATAAGTGACAATAGTGGCTAGCAAGATTGTGGGTTTGTGTGTATGACGCAACTGCCTGAAAAATAGGAACAAGTTTCGAGCAAAGGCTCTTAGTCTGAAGGTTAAGCCCTGGTCAAACAAGAACAAGAGTTGCATGGTATTTGAGAAGCGAGAGTTTACATCAGAGTTTTGTCAACTCTCATGCTCTGGTCAAACGAGAACAAGAGTTGCATGAGAGTTGAGAAGCGAGAGTTTACATCAGAGTTTTCTCAACTCTCATGCCCTGGTCAAACGAGAACAAGAGTTGCATGAGAGTTGAGAAGCGAGAGTTTACATCAGAGTTTTCTCAACTCTCATGCCCTGGTCAAACGAGAACAAGAGTTGCATGAGAGTTGAGAAGCGAGAGTTTACATCAGAGTTTTCTCAACTCTCATGCCCTGGTCAAACGAGAACAAGAGTTGCATGAGAGTTGAGAAGCGAGAGTTTACATCAGAGTTTTCTCAACTCTCATGCCCTGGTCAAACGAGAACAAGAGTTGCATGAGAGTTGAGAAGCGAGAGTTTACATCAGAGTTTTCTCAACTCTCATGCCCTGGTCAAACGAGAACAAGAGTTGCATGAGAGTTGAGAAGCGAGAGTTTACATCAGAGTTTTCTCAACTCTCATGCCCTGGTCAAACGAGAACAAGAGTTGCATGAGAGTTGAGAAGCGAGAGTTTACATCAGAGTTTTCTCAACTCTCATGCCCTGGTCAAACGAGAACAAGAGTTGCATGAGAGTTGAGAAGCGAGAGTTTACATCAGAGTTTTCTCAACTCTCATGCCCTGGTCAAACGAGAACAAGAGTTGCATGAGAG